GTACTTTTTTTACCTAAAAGTACCTACCCTTTTAACCTACCTACTCAACATTTTATGATATTTTTTTAAATTTAGTGTCTCTTTACTTTTATAATTGACCCCTCTCCCCCTTTCAAGTGTACTTTATGCATGATCTTTTATGTACATACTTTATGGACGATCCTTAACGAAAAAATACTTTTTCTATGTGTTAAGTCAGGTGATTTGTTTTAACGTTTTTAATTAGTTGAAACGTTTTTAATTAGTTAAAACATTTTAAAAATAGACATAAACATCATCAAAACATATCAAAGTTTTTTATAAAAATAGCTTCAAACTCAAATGATCCTGAGAGGTTTCTCATAAGTATTTTTTGATTGTATTTTTCAGTGATAAAACCACAAAACTGGTTACATGTAAAATTACAGAAAAGTTTAACCATAAAGTGACTTCATGCGCCATGCAAATAAAAAAATCAATATGAAACAATATGACACTATGAAAAAATATTTACAATATGAAACGGCATTTGGAAAAACCACATCTATCAGAATATAAAATTGTTGAATCTGAAATGAGCCTTATAGCCCAATGAAAATCTTCAAAATTATTTTATCACATTCCCAAGATTTCATTACTAAAAAAACAGATTACATTAGATTTTTTTGTTATTGCTAGTAGTTAAACTATAAATCAAGTTAGTGCTAAAACTTTTAAAATTGGAATTATTAAAATGGTAGTGCATAACAGAGTTTTGTTAAAAACATTTGCGCATAAAGAATGCGCATGAAGGATTTCAGTTGGTTACAGGCCAATTAGGTAAAACTCTTGGATTCAGTACCGGACACAATTCTGTAAAAAAAAAAAGTTGAAATAAAGGAAACATTGTTACAGAAATTTATTCATGTTAAAATAGATGCAGCCACAACCTATTGCTATTAAAAAAATAGTATAAAATAAGATACTCCATATAGATTTGGCATCAGCAATCATCAAATATATTTGCAAGTGTAGACAATGCAGCATAAAATGATTAGAGCATTCACAATTTTAAACAAATATTCAGGTGATGAAAATTTTTGAGATGAAGCTTTGCGTGATTAAGAAAAAGTGAAATTTTTACAACAGGATACAAATGAAGAAGGGAGTGAAAGAGCTCAGGAAGAGCTTTTTCACTCTAGCCTTTATCAACCCAGAATAGTGTCACATGATATGACAGTTAATCAAGATTACTCCAAAAAAAAAAGCTACATGATGTGACAGTTAATCAACATTACTCCAGGAGAGTTTGTAAAGGAATGGTTGAAATTGAAATCTGACCTAGAGAAGAATCATGGACTATTTGCAGAAAATATTTCAAAATCTATGCAGAAACAAGTGGAAAAACCTTTTAATAATGATATGATATATTTTGATAAAAATACTTTTAGTACAACTTTTTAGAGCGGATAATGGAAGAAATGTTCGAAAGTAAATTGTAGGATAATGGAAGAAATGTTCAAAAGTAAATTTAGCTTTTAAGTAAATTGAAGATTACCCAAAAAGAATACAAGAAGCGTGCAGAGCTGTCACTTGTATATCTCACAAGTAAGTGTAGAGAGGCTATTTTTTACTATTAAGTTTTGAGTGAAAAATGCAGATCGAGCGTTTTTTAACTAAAACATGATACTTTAGATTTATTTTTAAGGATGAATCAAGATTTTGATTAACAAAATGTTAATAGTACTTAAGTTACTGTCATAAAACATTTTTAAAAAATTTTGATTCGTTTTTTTTTGCGGAGCCACTCCGGAGCTGGAGCCAAAAATTCTAATAGAGCCGGAGCCAGTTTTTAGACCTCAGCTCCAAAGCCCTAGAATGAACAATGAATTGTGTGAAGGCTGCATGATTCAATGGATACTGTCTGAGTTCACATTCACTTCTCATAGCATTCAAATTAGAGAGGAAAGACATGTTAACATTTTGACCATCTATGGAAACCTGGGGCATTTTATCTTCTTCTAAACCACTCATGCATTTACGGAAATTTATCATGTTATCGACAGCAGCAGCTTTTCCAAAGAATTCAGAGTTGAAATATCTTGTTTTTACCATCTTTAATGAGGAGTCCCAATATCTTACATGCAAATCCATTTTGACTCTTCTTGACAACTTGGTTGTAAGATTTATCAAATTGGCAAATAAACTGATCAAGCTCTGATGCCTCACGCAATTTTTTCTTTAAAATAATTCCAAAGCAATACCAAAGGACACAAGATAAGTGCACTTTTATAGATAAGTGTTTTTCCACAAGAAAATTGTTTAGCTATTTGAATATCACTAAACATTGCAGTAAATAATTCAGATGTGTTTACACTTGATCGAAAAGAATGTTTTGAAAGCACAACATCAACTGGCCACATTATCTCTGTTTTCTTTGCTAACTGCGACTCTGCAACAAATGCAATAGAAGTTTGCTGAGGACAGTGCCGCTTTTGGGCTAGCTAATGGTTCTACAACAGTTTTTAATGCATATTTATCACAGACAGGCATAAGTTGTTTATGTTTGTTACCATTAGCATGTTTTTCCAATGCCTTTGTACTTAGACCCGCAACAGATATAACTTTCAAACATATCTTACATTTTACCATATACAAATTGTTGGGACATTTTTGTACCCATTGTTTTATAATTATTATCATTTAACCAATGATCTTGAAATTTAGTTTTGTATTTGACTGACATTTTCTATTCTATAAATACAAAAATATTTAGGTTAACTTAATAAAATAAAAATGTGAATAAAATTAATTTTAATTCTAAGAATTGCCACTGAAAAAAAAAAAAAAAAGTAGAGCTAAAAACTAGAATAACAAAGTATCCTTTGAAAATATAAAAACTTGTACCCGGTATTAAAACTTACATTTTTTACACATTATGGCAGTGTAAAGTTAGAAAAATTAACAGAACACAATACTTTTTATAATAAACAAAATTTAATAACATTTTTTCGTAATATGTTAAATGTATTCATACATAGATAAATAAATAAAATAAATATGTATAAAAACTAAATTTTGCATATATGCAAAAGCATGTTAAAAAAAAATTTCAAAACAAATACTGTTAAATATTACCCATGTTACAATATTAAACTTACATTGTTAAATTTATACCATTAAAAAATATAACTTAAGTGTACAGTGTACATTTTTAGCGCAACTGGTGGCTTAATAACTGTTTGCATTTCTTATATTACTCATAGGCATATATTCCTTATATTTTCATTCATTAACATGTATTTTCAATGTGTTTTTATATAGATCTGCAACAGACATAACCTTCAAACACATATTTCATATAACATTCCCAAATACATGTTTTTTGCATTAACATGTATTTTCAATATTATTGCCTTTTAAACGCTCTTAAAATTTAAAAACTGATGTTTTCTATTCTGAAAGTGCAAAAATATTTTAGGTCAACTTATTTAAAATAAAATTTTAATAAAAATAATTTTGATGTTAAGAACTTAGACAAATAAGAAAAAAGAGCTTAAATTTTATTAGAATAAAATTTTTAAATAATTTAAATATTAAAAAAATATTAAATTTGAGTAACTTATTTTCTCTCAGTATACAACAGTACTAACTCTCAGTTTGACTTTTTGACCATTTCATTAACTTTATTTTTGATTGGCCAATAATAGTTTATACATTATACTTGGGACAAATAAATTAAGATAATTTAGGAGTATTTAAGAAAATTATCTATACTTTATGAGAAATTAGGTCTTTTTAGGATGTTTTTCAAATATTAAGATATTTTAGGAGGCGTGGCCGCCCTGTGTACCATAGTTATCTATAAAATGTCATACATAAATGATGCTTTATAAAATAAGTAAAAAGATTTTATTTAAACTTTTTTGTTTGTCATTGATTGAATCTTTCTTGATTGATTGAGTATTTTATTGTTTTTCTGAGCTAATAATTTATATATTTATAATATATTTTTTTTTACATAAAATTATATAGAGTCAAAGCCTGAATTATCTATATTGGTGAACCCTAATTATATAAGGACTTGATGCGTAATAAAATTTAATTAACAAGCATGAATTACAGTTTGTTTAATTAATCAAGAAAACTTTTTTACTTTGGCTTTTTCTTCATAACTTTGTAATACATTCAAATCTGAGTTTACATCGAAATTTATTATTTCTGAAACTAGAAAGTCAGATAATTAAAATTTTCTAAAAAATTATCTTCTGCATGGAGAATGTTTTATTTGATTTAAATTAAATATTCTGATGAAAATTTTTACATGAAGATTTTTATAATCTAATGATCTAAAAGAATTATTATAATAATAAGAACAATTATTTAATATTATTTTTGTGCTAAATATCAGAAAATTTTTTCAATTTATTCAAGACATCATAACTATCAAACCATGATTTCTCCATTTAGCAAAACTGTTGGTGGTAACCTTTTTGATCTGAGCCTACAATAGGGTAGTGCAAAAAAGCAAAAAAAAAAAAAAAAAAAAAAAATTTTTGATGAAAATAATGATGTACTTTTTTTCAAGTTGATTTGATGATTGGAGAAATTTGATTGCTGACCAGTATATGAAATTACCTAGGCAATTGTATCTTTCCAATTATCATGAAGTTATTCACTGAGCAACCAACTATCATGAAGTTATTTACTAAGCAACCAACTGTTTTTTTTCAATTATAAAGTTATTCACTAATCAAATTATTGTAAAGGATTAAAACCCAATATGTGAATAATAATAAACTTGTTAAAACTAAAAAAACTATCATTTTTTTTATACATTATAAATATATAAATATACAAATTTTTTTGTTACAAAAATAAAACAAAATTGTTTAAAACATTAAAGAATTTCCTTTTTTAAAACTAATGTACAGTGCAATCCAATAAAAACTGACCTAAATATTATTTGCTAGAAAAAATATTATTTGCTAAAAAAAATATTATTTGCTAAAAAATAACAAATAAAACCTTTAAAAACTTACCCTTCTTCTGTGCTCATTGTATAAAAATATACTTGTGAAGATCTCAAATTTTTTATTGGAATTAAACACAAGTGACCAAACATCTAAATATTAAAAAATTATTTTTCAATGTAAAATATTATTATTTAAAAAGATTATTATAGGTCATCTCAAACAGATTTTGTGAATCTATTTTTTGAAAATATTTTTCTTCTTTTTTTTCCACCCATAATTCCTGAAAATCTCATGATCAACTTTATGTTCACACACACACACACACACACACACACACACACACACACACACACACACACACACACACACACACACACACACACACACACACACACAAATAATCTAATATACTATAGATAAAAAAATCCCAAAATCTTTTGTCTTTTGTGATTTGTACCTCCAATAATACCTGTATTCGATGTTGCATATTTAAATTTAAAAAAAACTGTTTTTCCTTTATTGAATTTGTTTTTTGATATGGTGATATAATCAAATGAAGAGTGGGTAACAACCCATGGTTAGAAAGCTAATCAAATTTACTTTTAATGACAATAAATATTAAATTTATTTATTTAATAAATTTTATTAAACATGAAAATCAGTCATCTACTAAAAAATATTGATACAAAATCAATTAAAGTCAACATTAATGGATTCGGAAAAAAAACGAACCCTTTTAAAACATCTCCATTTTGCAAAAAAAATTAAATTTCGATATGTCCTTAATTAACTGCAAAAGAAAAAAAATGTTTTTGCTGATGAAAAAAATTGGATGCTCCAAAAAAAGATTTGAAAATGTATTGTTATATTGAAAATTGTTATATCAAAAAAAACATTGCAAAAAAATCAGCTTAATAAAAAAATTGAAACCTGAATATCTCAAGAATCATAAAGAGTTGGAGAACTTTCAGATTTTCATAAACCTTATAACATATATAAAAATTAGTAAAATCTAAATCATGGGATTCCATTTTTTTGGTTTTTGCTGTGGACTTGACAGAGTTATTCATATTCAAAATTTATTGTTTCTTTAGATAAATTTAGATTAGTTTCTTTAAATAGAATAATTAAATTTCATAGTTTCTTTAGATAAAATTATTAAGTCACATTTCTATAGCCCATAACTTCTTAATATCTTTAATTTTGTGTCTTGTGAAATAACTTTTAAAATAATGCAAGCATACCTGAAAAAACACCTCAGCCCTTTAAAAATCATAAAATAAAAATTGTTTTCAAAATTTTTAACTACAACCAAAAGTTGAAATCAATTTTTTCAAAATTTTCTTTTAACCTTTAATCAAAGTATTTATGAACTCCTCATTTTATACTAAAACAATTATACAAAAATTTAAAGTTTGCTTAAAAGTTAACTTTCAATACTAAAAACAATAATATGTATTTAAACTTACTTGTCGAAGATGTTGAGCAGGACATTTCACAAACATCTGCTGAAGCCACCAATCATCCTGTGTCATAGAGTCTAAGAACCATTCACAAGCACTTTGTGAATTATCAAAACCATGCACTATAAGTTCTACCCAATTTTTTATATGAGGTTTTTCACGAGAATGGACAAGAGTTTCAAGCAAAAAAGAGATGGCTAACTTTGTAACATGAAAGGTAACTGAAACTGATAAAGTTTTAGGGATATTATTACAAAACTGCCATAAAAAACTAAAATAATTTGGTTCAAATACAAGTTTATCTTGCAGAAACTGATGGTTGTCTTCACTAATTAACTCTTGTAGATCTTTAGGTAAATTAATGTGACTTGTTTGAATCTCTTTATCCATTTCACAGTGTTCATAAAAGAGCATGTATGCACTATGCGTTTTTTCAAATGAAAAATCCATATACTTCTCAGTCATTGCATCAAACGTTTTTGTCTAAAAAAAATCTACTTTTATTTTACCAAAATAATAAAATATAAAAAAAAAAAAGTTCAAAAAGAATAGTAATAGCATAAAATGAAAAAATAAAACAAACTATAGTAGATCATGTGATCATATGAGACAATGTTAAAACAAACTATAGTAGATCATGTGATCTTGTGAGTCAATGTTAAAACAAACTATAGTAGGTAATGATCATGTGAGATAATGTTAACAAGACAACTGTTAGTTAAAACAACAAAAACTGAAATAAAATAAACAGATTAAAGATATGTAGAGGTTGTAAATTATTTAGCATTTATTTATCATTCACATCAAAAGATTTTGTATGCAAATTTATCTGCATTAATAATATAACCATAGAATTATAATATAACAATAGAACAAATGTTGCAAGCTTTAATAAATCACAAGTTAACAAACTAAAACAGATCAAAAAATGATAACTTATGACTTGTAGTTTATTAAAGGGTAGAGGCTTGTTCACTGATGTATGATGTTCACATTTTATGTTGAGGTAGGAGTGGGGTGTGGGGGGGCGTGGTGTCCTCTTTCACTACTACTATACTAATAGTTATAGTAGTCATAGAAAAAAATCGAATGACAAAAATGACAGCGCTTTTAATTTTTCTTCTTAAAATAAATCTGTATTTATTCTGAACATCTATTTTTGTTTTTATTACTTATCCTCCTTTATATAAAAAGTTTTTTCAATAGAAATGTTTCATATTTCTCTGTGGGCTTTTATTGCCCAGTCTAGTTCAAGTACCGCAGATTACCTGCATCAAGTACAAAAATATGACAATTAAAAAAATCCTAGTAAAAAATAATTAAATAAAGAGATTAATAAAGAAAATAATAAAGAAATTTATTATTTTATTAATTAAATTATATTAAATTAATTAATAAGAAAATAATAAAAAGATTTATTACTAAAAAGATCCTTAAAAAATATAGACACATAAAATACATTAAATTAATAAGGATAAATTTAGTTTATTAGTAAGTAAATATTACTGTCATTTCGCCTCCAAAGCATTCTGCAGCAATTTGCATAGGGTCAAATGTTTTTACTTCAGCATCGTTAAATAAATACCAATTATTTTCTTTTGAACATCTGTCACGAATAAAACTATAGTAATGACCACCATCAGCAGTGCCTGTGTGGACAACTACCCCTGCTAGATTATACCAGTGACTTGGATTGTCATCAGGATCTATAAAAAAACTTTAAATTAGGTTAAAAAGTTGATCAGGAATGCAATGTCAATAAAATACCTCTTACAATTTATAAATAAATTGCAAATAAATTCTATGTAGTAATAATGTAGTTTATGGATAGTTTAAGTAGATTATTTTATTAAAAATGTTTTAACAATTGAAAATTGTCATTTAATCTCTAGTTGCAATGGTGACATAAACCAAAGTATTTATTAAACAAGTTTGTCAAAATTAAATTTTATATAGTCATCTAAAAAAAATTAACTTTAAATGGTGGAAGGAAAATGTAAAGTCTAATGTAAAACTTAGAAATTAAAGTAGTAAAGAATTTTCTTTAATATGAGCATGTTCACCACTTTTTTAAAACCTGTATTTAAAAAAAAATTTTTTTGAGAACCTAAATATTTAACTGCATCATGAATAGAGATCACTGCTCATTGTTTATTCTCAAAAACTATTTATTTGTAAAATTATTGGATCCAGCATGAATATTTTTGAAAATATTCCAATTTTCGTTTAAGGTGCTCATAATACCCTAATCTACCCTATAAAAAAGGATATATTATTATTTTATAGCTTTGTAAGTATTAAATTTTTGTAAATGGTATATATATTTTTACGTCAGAAATTATGTACAATCCCACTTGCAAACCTAAATTTAATATGACATGCATTCAATCACTAGAACAATTAAGTTTTTATAGTTATCACTTTAAATGATCATCATTGTCCTTAATTACTTTAACTATTGCTTCCTTCTTCTGTGCTTTTTTTTCGTTAAATGCGCACCACGTTTTTCGTTTAAAATTTTACAAATATTATCGTAATTATTAAGAGTTCATAATCAAAATTTTTCATGTCACTTACTATCGACTCAATTAATTTTCAAAAATTTCTATAGCCACAAGAGAAAATTATTTTCTACTTTTTAGTTCATTACAAAAACGTGGTTTTATAAAAAGTTTTTTTAATTGTTATACTATTCACCAAAAAAACTTTGCTTTTGGCTTTATTATTTACAGAATTTAATGAAAGCATTACTTTAAAAAATTAATTGTAACTATTACTTTGCAGAACTTGTTTAAAGCTTTAGTTAACTGAATTTATTAAAAACATTACTTTACAGAATTCATTGAAAGTAATCATTTATAGAATTTATTAAAAACGTTACTTTACAAAATTTATTGAAAGTAATCATTTATAGAATTTATTAAAAACATTACTTTACAGAATTTATTGAAAGCATTACTTTACTGAATTTATTAAAAGCATTTTTTTACAGAATTTATTGAAAGAATTATTTTACTGAATTTATTTAAAGCATTACTTTATAGAACTTAATGAAAAGCATTACTTTACAGAACTTAAACAAATTTCTTATATTTACAGATTTCATAGATTAAATTTCAGCAATCTTAAAATAAGAACAAATTGCTGACATAATGTGATTAAAAGTAAACAATTCTTTACTTTGACAGTTTCCATAAAGAATTGTTTGGAAAAAAAATACTTAATTAAACTAAAAGTAATGAAATGCTAAATGATCTCTTTTAAGAAATAAAAAACTTGATAGTTAAAAAGATTTTATCTATAAATTTTATTATTGAGTAAAAATATTTAATAAACAAAAAACCTCCATCGCAGTTTTTGATAAGCAGATAATCTTCAGTGTATGCAGCCATATTAAGTTTCATAGGAAATGAAAAATGAGTATTTACTTTTTCTTTCATCATAGTTACCATGTTAAAAGTATAGCGCATTGTGTTAAAACATAAAACTTTTGGCAATGTCTTGAAACATGCTCTAAAATCATATAACCAAGAAAACATTTTTTTCTTAGCTCAAACTGTCACTACATAAAAAAAAAAATTTCTCAACTCGAACTTGTTATATAAAAAAACACCTTTTCTCAGCTCGAACTTTATCATTACATTGCGAGCAGGTATACTTGTTATCACCTTCTAATACATCTTTGACAGTAACTTCATCTAATGACTCCTATGCCAAAAAAAAAATTAACACTTAAAATATTAAAATCAATGAATATTTGAAAGTAAAATTTGAAGAGACAAACTTACATAAAGGTTTTTCATATCAGCAACTGTACAGCGTACTGAATAAAATTCTTCTTCTGTTTTACTAACATGTAAGCAATCCTAAAGAAAAATTTTATTTTAAATATTTAAAAAACTATAAGTTAAAGTTGCACAACTTTGCCTAACAGAAGTGATGGTAGAAAAGCTGGTGGGATTGTTATCTACATTTTTAACAATTTAAACTCGGTTTAAACAATTGATATCAAGTTGTGGAATGATAAATTTGAACAAAAATGAGTAACTTTAATAATCAGAAAAGAAATAATGCTAATTGAATGCAATTACAGACATCCAAACAACAATACTGATATAGAGATTGTTAAGTCTATTCGTGCTGCAAATAATAAATTAGATAATCAAAAATGCCATTGTGTATTTGTAAGGGAGACTTTTACTTTTCAAAAAAAATATTAAGGAAAAATGGAAGTATATATAGACTTTTTAATAAAAAGGGGGATGGGTCAGACCACACATTTGCAAATACAGTTGAGGATTGTTTTCCTTAACTGTATTTACAACACATTGATGCCTCAACTTTTCAAACACAAGATGGCACTTTTAAAGGAACTCTTGATTTGATTCTTTTTGAACAAAATAATAGGATTTGCAGTCTTAAGTATAATCAGATGTTTAGAGACTGCGATAAAGGCCATTTAGTACTGACTTAAAAGTTAGTTTTTTCAATAGCTCATAATAGTTCCAAAACAAAACTTGCTTTTAATTGTGGAAATTATAAAGATATAAAATCCTTCTTTGAAAACGTGAACTGAAAAAAAATAATCTATCAAATGTTTGATCAATATTTTGATATTACTGTTGAAAAATTATTCTGTATTATATTTTGATATTACTGTTGGAATTGAAAGATTATTCTGTATTATATTAGACATCTCCACATTAACCCATGGTCCAAAACTTTCAACTTGGCATTCAAGAGGTGACTTAATGCATATTTTTAAAACCAATATAATAGTGTAAATCTAACTTTCTTAGCGCAAATAAATATATAAAAAAATCAGATTTAGACATGTGGACACAACTTTAGATATGAAACCAACTTTACTAAAAGTTAGCTTAAATCAGTTTAAAAACAAACTTGACAAATACTTACAAAAGAACTATAAATAAACAATAATATGTAAATCACACTAGCTGTATTAATACAGTCTCAGCTTAATTACAAAAACAAAAATTAAAACATAAATAAATGTCAAACTTACCAGTGAAATAACATTATTTGTAATTACACCACAAAACAGCTCACGCATTAGCTCTTTCTACAAATAATTATTATGCAATTAAAGAAATTAAAAAAAGTTTTGATATTATTGATAAGATATAAAAATTTTCTGTGAATTAAAAATTGTAAAAAACAATCCTTGCAATGAGTTGAAAAATGAAAATATTTTAAAAGGAAAAATGAAAATATCTTATAAGGACATATATTTACACTTAATAAACTCTATGTTAGGTTAAATTTAAAGCATTATTTCTGGACCTCAGCCGAAGGATATTAAGTCAATTGATTTTAGAAGTGAGATTTTGACTTCTTTCTATATATTGTTAATATATGTAAATAAGTTGATACACCTTTACTGCTCAGTATTAAATTTATTGTATGCTTTTAATTTGAACATAAAAAACAACTTTTTCTTATCTTTCTGCACATTCTTGTAAGAAATCAATTATCTAGAACAGCTGATAAAAATAGGTCTTAATACCCTTACAAATTAGGTCTTAATACCCTTAATCTTAATATGCTTCTGAGATATAGATTTTTAGTTAACAAACAATTTACCATTTTGAAAATACTATTTTTTAAATTCATCTTAAACTACAAAATATTTTATACATTTACTTTTCAAACATTAAATATTATTTTAAATTTTTTAAAACTATTTTGCAAAAACATTACACACCCCATAACTGATCAAGTTACTTTGTTGTTGGGTTTGAAAAAATTAAAAATTATTACTATGCTAAAAATAATTATATTACTAAATCAAAAAAAAAATTTTTTTTAGTGATTCAATTATTTCAGTAATAATTCATTTTCATGAATTATTACTATATTTAATGGAAAACATAAAATGAGATATTTTTTATTATCAATTTCACCTATTCAAAGGTCCCTAAATTAATTAAAAGTAATTCTGCATTTATAGAGTGAAGTATCAATATACACTGACACACTAACATTCAAATTGTTTTCTTTTTAAGTCTTCATTTATAGACTCTTTAAAGAAATCTTTTCTTACAGACTTTTCAATGATGTTTTTCCATGTTTCACTGTTCTACTCCATAACACGTTAACATATAACACATTTCATTACTCCATTTCACATTAACACATAAAGTATAACATTTTTGTTTAATTTTTTAGGTGCACCTCTAGCTATTAAAAGAGGAGATAAAATTATTTGTTCAGAAACACCTTACTTAATCAAAACTGTAGATAGAAACATCAAGATGCTTCTCGTTAAACTTATTGACAAACCAAAATAACAATTATTATTCTTAATTTTATTTTACAAAAAAATGTTGCCATAAATGATTTTTTTTTGTTGTTGTTATTTTCTGATTATCTTTTTAAATAAATGTTTGCAAAAATAAATATCCAGGAAAAAATAAAATATCTTAATAGAAATGTTATATTGCAAATGTAATTGTGCAAACAATAACATTTGGAATGTCAACACAAACAATTAATATGCAAAAAAATTGTTAAAAGCAATTCAAAAAAAATTTCATTGTCCTAACAATTTTCAACAGTTTTTACAATTGTTAGAGTTTTGTTAAAAATTTTAAAACATAAATTTAAGTTACAAACATTTAAACATATAAACTATATATTTACCAGATCAGGTCCCATTTCTTCTAACTTGGAAACAAAGTCAGTAAAAAATTCAGTCATATCTTTTTGCTCGCAAGTATTAAGAGGTTGTTTATCCATTGTATATGTGCGACAAAATAGTTTTGGATTATATGCTTTTCGAATGCTGCTATGAAGATATGCAAACATTTTTTGAACTTCTTTTAAGATTGCTGAATGCTTAGTTTGAGATGTTATTTCTTCATTCAAAATAACGGATCTTGCTTTTGGTATCATGAACAACTGTTGTACACATGATGCCATATAACAGGTAGCACCTAAATTGATTAATCCTACATAACCAACAGATGATCTTTCTTGCTCATATGGCCAATAATTCCACCCATATGAACAATGGTTTTTATTTTTCTCATTTGGTCTGTGATGTTTAATAAAAAAAGTAAGAAGTTCTAAATACATTTCTTTACAACCACTAACTAACTGAAGCAGAAGTTCATAAGCTGCAAGACGAGAACCTTTTGCTTCATGATGCGGCTCTTGTATCTCACTAATAGAGGAGGGAAGATTAAATAAAATCTTACTAAAGACATTTTGCATTAAACCAAAACCTTCTGGAAGTAATTTAAAATCTGTATCATGTTGCAAAAGAGCTGTGCAAACTTGAAGCAAACCAACTAAGCAATAATCTCCATTATCGATACAACTTTTTGATTCTTTTATATACATAGACACTTCAGTAATTGCAGTGCGAATGCAAATTTCATCTTCACCATCAACTTTATTATACTTATTTATCAAGCGACATAACAACCAAAAATAATCTTTGTAATTTAGATTTGTAATTTTATGTGAAGATAAACTTGCCAGCTGTTCAGCTGACATATTTTTCAGTTGGACTAAATCAGAAAGCTTATTTAACATTATATTTAAAACTTTGTTTAGACCAACTTGACTACCGCAAAGACAAAGTTTATAGATGCCATGCGCTCCTTCAGTTCGTACAGACCTCTATAAATACAAATTTAAACTTTTTAAACTCTTCATTTAAATACAATTGAAGATTTTAAAACTTAAAAGAATGTTTAATAAAAAGTTAAAAAAAAATATTTTCAATCTATTTAAACATTTAACTTTTTATATATAGAGCATTACCAATGTTTAAACAATTATAAGCTGGTACTTAAAGCAATATGCATACTATTACAATTTTCTTAAAGAACAATTAAAACAAAAATATTATTATCATATTTTAGGCTACCTGAATTTTTCAATGCATATATTTTTATCATTTTATTTCTTTTTGTGTGTTGATGTTGCAATAATTTGGAAAATGTAGAATAATTTTCAAAACTCTACACTCGCTAAAACGCTAAAGTTAGCTAGAAATATTTGTAAACAGTATATTTATATTTCTCATCAAAAATATATTAAATGTGAGCTGTTGAAATATGAAATACTCAAAAACAATTTATTTTTATAAAAATAACTACATAAAATTGACAAATTTTCAACTTTGGTGGGTTACTTCCGCACACTAAAGTTGCAAATAATTTTCTATATAAATTAAAGTTTAATTATCTCGCAACAAAAAATTTTCTGTTCAGTGCGTGATTCTACTTCAAACTTTAAATATTCTTTGTTAGCATTACAAATGTATACCATTTTTTGTTTACAAAATATTTATATAGATTAGTACTAAATGACAGTAAATTAGAGATCGCCAGTTTTATTTTTATGAAAACATTAGACAAAACTTATAAGAGCTTAGAAGCACATAACTGTACTTGATTTTTTGGAAATGCCTATAGTATATCAACTTACTTAAAAATAAATAACTTACCTGTGGAGCATAAAAAACTAATCGCAACAGTAACGATGAAAATTTATCATGATGAAGAAGCTTTTTGCGTAACTCTTCATTACATGACACTGAACATACCAAAAAAGATAGACAATGATATACCACTAAACAAAAAAACTATTATTGGGAAATTATATACATACATACATACATACATACATACATACATACATACATACATACATACATACATACATACATACATACATACATACATATATACATACATACAGTATAGGACAAAAAAAGTGCAACCAAATAATGCTAATTGAATTTCTTTATATAAAAGTGCTGCATTTTTTCAATTTAGAGAAATAACTATGTAACTGTTTAGAGACAACGTTCTTTAAGATTTATTCATCACAAAGTTCATTATTTGTACACAAAAATTAATAAACTAATTGAAAGTATTAAAAAAAAGTTGATTTTTTTCTGGACAAAACAAGTACAACTCCACAAAATGTTGACCAAGCTGTATTTTTCTATCAATATTTCGTAACAAATCCTTTGTTGTCGATCACAGCCTTGCATCTTCGAGGCATAGATTCGATCAGGTGATCAATGAAACTTTGTGGAATCGCTGCCCAGGCCTTTTGGATTTGTTTAAACAGTTGATCCTTATTACGAACACCTTCACGATTAATTCTGCGGTTGACGATCTCCCACAAGTTTTTGATAGGGTTGAGATCCGGAGATTGAGGCGGCCAATCCATCACTGATAGGTGGTTGTCTTGAAACCACTGCTTGACTATTTTTGCAGTGTGTTTCGGATCGTTGTCTTACTGAAAGACAAGACATTTTATTGGCATATTCCATTCAGCATGAGGTAACATAACATCTTTCAGGATATTTTTATACATGAAACAGTCCATTATTCCATCGATTCGATGTATTGGACCTAGACCGCTAGCAGAAAAACACCCCTAGACCATTACATTGCCCCCACCATGCTTCACAGTCTTATGGCAGTAACGTAAATCGAGGCGTTTTCCAGCCGGTCGATGTACACGGCAAATGCCATCGCTCCCAATGATGTTGAACTTCGATTCATCACTGAACAGGACAGTTCGCCATTTCTGCACATTCCAGTCAATATGAGATGTAGCAAACAGGAGTCTTTTCTTCTGGTTCTTTAGTGAAATCAGCAGTTTCTTTGCAGGGCGTCGAGAAAACGATCCGGTTTCAACAGCACGTCATCTGATTGTTCGGTCCGATACAGGCAGTTCTACTTGCTTTTGTATCTCAACTGATGATATCCAGGGGTCCTTCTTGACGGATCTGACGATCATAGAATCCTCTCTAGAAGTGGTGGAACGCGGTCTTCCACCTTTGTTATCTGCTGCCAACTTCCCCGTAGAAGGATATTTGGAACATAGTCTTGATACGGTCCATTTTTTCACGCGATATATATCACAAATACTTTTTTGTGATATATATTCCACTTATGTGACATTCCACTTACCTAATCGCCGATAATTTGCTTTCTTAGTTCCAATCCAAGACTGTCGGGAGCCATTTTTGCACTTCAAGTCATAAAAATAATAAAAATAAATAATCACGCTTCTCAAGGCTTACCGTGTTACATTTACATTGTGATGATACAATAATGCTCTGTGAAACACAACTTCTTAGTTGGGTGTGGACTGTATTGATGTAATGAAACACTTGTTGTATTTCACTTCTTGTATTGATGTTCTTCGATAAAACACTTTGATAAAACTCACTTTGATAAACTGTCTTGATAATACTGACTGATTGAGTTCCATATACTGACTGAATTACATGTCGGTTTACATGTCTCTTATATAGTAAAATGAACCTGTGTGAATCTGTTCTGGAAGATTATAGATGCTTCTTTTCGACGCTTCTGAAAGCATCTGGATGCCTCTGGATGCTTCCGAATGTTTCTGGATACTTCTGGATGCTTCTGGAAACTTCTAGATACTTCCTTTAATTATTAAAAAACTTCCGTGACATTGAAACAAACTAGACTTAAGAAAATGAAACAAACCAAAAAAGTTGCACTCATTTTGTCCACTGCAAAATGGCACTTGTTAACAAAATTTTCCCTGTGTCCTGTCACCTGTCAATCAGCTATTGCTTATGTCATGGCATGTTATGAGTCCAGACTCCTGAACTGTTTGCTGTGGTAATATATATATATATATATATATATATATATATATATATATATATATATATATATATATATATATATATATATATATATATATATATACAATTCTAAAATGTATTTACAAAATAGAGTGCTCAATGCTCAAATTTATTTTTTTATTTTACAGTAGATTATATTTGGTTTTTTAACTTAAAAAATAATAAAGCCTTATTCAGTATTTTAATTGAATTTTCGAGTCATAACTTTAGATACTAAGCCTTAAATGTAAAAGATAAAAAAAGTTTTGTTTACAAAAGAAAAAAGTTTACAAAGGAAAAAAGAATACAAGTTTAGCTCAAAATTACCTGAAGCTCTAACATCTTGGTTGCTTAATGTAAATAAGTCATTACTACTTTCAAATATTTGATATAAAAAATTAATAACCCTCTGAAACAAGTTTTCATCAAGCAAATCAAGCAGTTCCTAAAACATTCAAAAATTAGCATAAGCTGCAATATTATTAATAAAATTCAAAAAATGTAAATTAATTTTGAAGAATGGAAAAGATTATTTTAAACTAAAATATTTTTAATAAAAACTATTTTGAAAAGTTTTATTAAACTTATTTAATTATTATCTCATTTGGTTAATATCAAAAAAATTAAACACAAAAACTAGTTATGTAAAGTAAAACCTGAAAAAATTTCCAAAATATTTTTGAAAAAGCAGAAGTCTATTTAAAATGTTCAACAAGATATTCAACTTCATTTTTTTTTAGTAATAAAAGTAAAAGAAGATTTTTTATATGAAGAATGACATATAAATATATATATTTCATATAAATGACATATATATATATATATATATATATATATATATATATATATATATATATATATATATATATATATATATACACACACACATATATATATACACACATATATATATATATTTTTTTTTTAGTAATAAAAGTAAAAAAAGATTTTTTATATGAAGAATGACATATAAATATATATATTTCATATAAATGACATATATATATATATATATATATATATATATATATATATATATATATATATATATATATATATATATATATATATATATATATATATATATATATATATGATAGATATATAAACTAACCTGGCTAAATTGATGGATTATAACAATATTATCTGTTTCAGTACTTCGATAACGTGCTCTAAATATATGTGTTTTTCTTAAAGTTTTCTTAGTTACAGGACCAAGGTCAACATCACTAACCAATCCAATTCGAGTTATCAGTTTGATAATATAAGCAAAACAACTAGTTGACCACTCATCTTGATTTATTTCTTCTTTTAGAATAAAACGCAATAAATGCTTTACTAAACCTGTCTGAAAAACTTTATGTACCCAAGCATAATCAAGGTTGCTCACAGATGATCCTTTGTCAACAACTGAAGAGTCAGAGTCTCCACTTGAGTCTCCATTAGTATTTTCTTTATTAGAAATTTGAACAAATGGAAGACTTATACTGTCTAAAATTTGCAAAACATAAAGAAGCATAAATTTTTGTTCAAAGCATAAAATATTATCCCAATCAATATCTTCTTTAAATGAAAGTTTTAAGTACTTTTCCTTCAAGTTTTCATTAGTTGGAAGCATAAGTATTAATTCCCAGGTATTATTTAGTAAACTTCTAGCTGATAATGGTTTAACTAACTCACGGGAATCTTCAAATGATTGCTCAAGTGTGTCATTAACTGAACTATTTGGTAAGTTACTTATTTCACAATAAACTTTTTGATAACTCTCAGAATTGCTTACTTTGTATAAAACATCAAGCAAATTAAATAGTTCGAAAAAATTCTTTTCTCTAAGTAATTGTATCATTGGTACTGACTCAAAATTAGGAGGATTTTGCAAGGAGTATGGAAGTTGCACTGAGTTTAACATTCCTTCTTTTTGCATATTCATGATAGAAATATATACCAACTAAAAATTTCATTAAACTTCAGGATTATTTTTTACAACAAGTGATACAAAATAATCTTAAAAAACTATCTGTTGATATAAAAACATTTTTATTATGTATTAAAATTATTTGCATTAAAAATATATGATAGTTGTAACTATTTTTTTATAAAATCTTTTTTTATGTAAAATTCTCTTTTTTCTCTAAAAATCTTACTTGCTGATCTCGAATTCCTATTTCACTTAAAGTCTTCATGTCTAAATCATGGGTTAGCTCATGACCATGTGATATAAGTCTAAAAGGTGGTTTTAATTCAGTGGAGTTGTCATTTGGCTTTTTCCTTTCTTGAACACCTATACACCAATGTGTAATACGAGCACGAAGAGTAGCAAGAAGGTCACATGACATCATTTTGAATGTTATCTTTAAAAAAAAACATTACATCTTCATTAGAAAAAATTTTTTTGATCTGGGTCATAGTTTTAAAACATATTATTAACCACATGTATTATTGTATATTTTACTCTATAATTGTAAAATTGTAATTAGCCTCAATATCAAAAAACTCTTAGAATTCAATTAGACATTCTTACAATTTTTCAGAACAAGTATTAAATAACACATTCTTAGACATTAACACATTCTTATAGAATAACATATTGTTAGACATTTTAAAACCAACACCATTATCTATTACACCATTTTTACACAGCTTTACACTATCATCTATTAATTAAGACTTGCGACTTAAATTATCAATAAGATTACCAACATCAAGTGAGCCAAACTTTGGAAATTTTTTAAATATTATAAACAAACATGCCAAACATGTTATTGCAACCAAAGTCCAAACTCTTTTTTATTGCAGTATTAATTTATTAGTAAACAATAAGAGATGGTAAATAAAAAAACAAATAATAAATAGACAGTAAATAAAAAAGACAAAGAAAAGAGTACAAATTGATACAACTTTTGTGTTTTAATTTATAATTGTGAAAAGATAAAAACCTTTACCATAAATAATTTAATAATTTAATATGTAAATAATTTAAATTATTTTCATCTTTTGCATGTAATAATAAATTCAGATGACTAAATTACAATTGCAAAAAAATTTTTCAAAATATCGTTGTTTGAAATGAACAACGCTTAGCAATAGGTGTGAAAGTTTATTAAATTATGAAAAAACTCTCAGTTACTTTTTATATTCACGTTTCAAAATGTCACATATAAAAAGCTAGCAAGTATATGTTTTCGAAACTTATTTTTAGATTATTTGGATTTTTTGGATAATAATTCTAAAAACAGTTTGACAAATAAATACTTGCTTTATAGCACATTGTTGTTTAAATTAAGAGAAACAATAACTTTTCTTTATTAATATTTTACTTATTTTCTCCCACAAAAAAATTAAACTTTGACATGTCATGATATGGTGAAGCCAGTTGCAACATATGGTGCAAAAACTTTCCAATATACCCACATAGTAGTCTATAGCACACATCCAAGTGAAAATCTCAGGTCGCTATTGATTAGCTGCTTTAAGCATTCCAAATCCAATTCTATTAGTTTATCGGATTTGGATTAATCATTGATTTTTTTTCATTAAGTTTTGCATTTGTTGTTACAAAGGCATTGAAACCAATGTCTTGCTGTCACCTCAGTCACCATTCCCAAAAGATATTTGATTGCATATATTGTATTGCTTTGGCTGCTGAGTAGTCTAAACTCTTAAAGAAGGCAATACTGAGCATTATCTTTAATTTCATTCATTTCTTGGCATTATATATAATATGCAATGCATACATTTGTTATTACTTAATACAACATTTTATAATGCCCAAAACATATTCTTCATGTACAAAAATAATTTCTTTTTTCTGTTTTTTACTACACCATCACCCTCTGTTATCAAAATAAATTGATATTTTAAATAAAGACATTGATTTGTTAAAAATAATTTTAAAAATGGTATTCTTTTAAATTAACAATTAAAAAAAATATTCATAGAATTGTAAGAAAAAGGGGTTTTTCTGCTACTTGAGCAGGATGGATAAAGAGACACTCTCTACCTTGCCCAAAGAATAATTTTCTATTTAGGTAGGGTAGATTAATATCATAGATAATATAATATAATAAACCAAATAAAATACTTTAATTGAAAAGCTCGTTTCATAAATATTTATTTTCGTTATTCTGTTAAATTAAAACAATTTTGCTTTTTGTAAAGAATGAATGGAAGATTTTGATGTCATTACTTCTAATAATTGGCAAGTTTTTAGCAAATGTTTTTACGAAATTAAATTATAAAACACTACTTATATTAAATGTTTATTTATTAAACGCTTATAATTTAATGATAAAATTTTATTATTTAATTTTAATATAAAAATGAAACATTTTGATTGTAAAGAATAACAGAAAGGGTTTCAAAAAAATCTTTGTTTAAAGCAGTTTTCTCTTTCTAATTTATTATTATTTAATAAAAAATTTCTTATAAATTATAAGAAAACACTTAAAAATAAAACTATTATTTAATTATAATACAAAACAATTTTTTAATAAATACAAGTACATTAAAAAATTTTAGCATAAGATAATATTTTAAATGAATTTTTTTTTTTTTTTTTTTTTTTTGCATATTCCATAAATTTAGTAATGCCGTATAATTAAACATCTTTCAATAATAATGTCTTAGATTAATTTTTTACCCTTTTAAAAGCAGTTCAAAAATTTTTAGTTTAGTGATTGCATATATGCCTATATAAAACTTAATATTAAGTTAGGCTTATACATTGCATTTAAAGTAAGGTTGTCGATAATGTAAAAATAAAGTCAAAAATAGAGAAAAAATACAAAGTAGAAATAATGAGACTTTATTGTATTTTTTAATTTAGGGATAAACTGTTCTAAAAAAATATGTCAAAATTTTAACGTTGGTATTTGATAGGGAACTAAATTTTAAAAAATATGCTATCCGTACAATTAAGGAAACAAGATTCAAAACCGTACTATTATAATTCAATATTTTACCTATATCTTGATTTTACAAATACTATATTAATTTACAGTACATTTTGAATGATTTTTGTAAAGATCTTTTTCTGTGTAAAATGTAAAATGTTTTGCATGTAAAAAATTTTAAAAGCTTTTAAAACAATCAACATCGGTCGATGGTTATCAAGGGCGATTCTGATGCTTCAACTAAAAGGCCGATACATCGGCAGGCCGATGCATTGGTACACCCCTAGTTATTATTATTGATATTATTAGTGCATTGTTGTTATAACTATTATTTTTATTACTGTTATTTTTGTGGTTGTTAAATTATTATAGTATAACTTTTTATAATTACTACTATTGATATTTATATTATATTTATTGTTGTTATCACCACTATTTTTATTATAATTTAGGTGTTTACTTCATATTAGCACTCATTACTATTTGTAAATATGTTTGATGTAAGAACTTTTATTCAGAAATATATTCGATTTGATTTGATAAAAACTCAAGTAAACCTCTCTTACTCTTATTTTATTACTCAGAATTTATTTCAAGTTGTATTAAGAATGTCAAGAAACAAAAGAAACATCTATGTTATTTATGGACTTTTTAACTGTTTTGTATGCACACAGGTAAGTGGCTGTGGTCAAAAGCTTGACCCCCAACACACACCCTCTATCTGCTTTTGAGAACTTTTTATTTTGATTTCAAGCAAAGTATTGAATTAAAGCTCACAAAAGACAGCAATGTCTTACTGTTCCCAAATCTCTTGCAGTTCCTATTTATACTCTTCATATTGTGAAAACTACTCTGATAACTTGAGGTTTAAACTAGTGATAAAGTTATTGATAATCATTTCTATTTGTTGATGGCACCTAAACCTATTCACAACAAATAACTCACAAAATTATAATAATAAAAACATAACAATAATAATAATAATAATAATAATAATAATAACAATAATAATTAAAGTATCTATAAAAAAAACCCTTCCTAACTTTTGTAAAATATAGGAAAAAAAAAAGAGAGAATTATGGGTTATGAATAAAAAACACTTTAACTTATTATATAAATTCAATTCAGAAAAATAGTTGTTACCTTATCTATGACACCTGTTGGTTGACATACAATTCTCAAAGGAACATCTTTACTGCTGACTTTTTTTACATTTTGATGGCTTGCAACATTTCTGCCAGTTAAACTCCACAATTCCAAATGAAATGCAAGTCTTCATAAAATAATTTTTATTTAATAAGTTTAAAAAATTCTGTCATAAAAAGTTAAAAATTCATAAAACTGCATAAATTTGGTTACCTTTTAATGTATGCTTGCAAATGATTTTTGAGAATCTTTAACACTTGCTGAATTGATTTTAAAGATTGTAAATAATTCTAAACAAAATATAAAAAAAATTAAAAAATTAAAAAAATAACTAAAATATGTTACATAAAGTACCAGTAAAGCAATAATATAAAAAATAAATAATAAGTAAATAAAAAAAAAAGCAAATAAAAAGCAATAAAGAATTAAAAAAAAAAAAAAAAAGAATATGGTTAAATTTTAACCTTTTCAATAGTATTAACACCTTCTCTTAAAACTGTCATGCAATTCTGAATAAACTCTTCTTCTTTTTGTACTGAATTTTCGCCTACTATAAAAAAATTGAAACTTGATTATCTACATTAGCAATGACCATAAAAGACTAATTTTTTTTTACTTAATTCACATTTTTTAAAAATAAATTTAAATATGAATTTAGGAAACTAAATAATAAAATAGTAAATAAAGTGTAAAACATGATGCAGTACAATGCAAAACATGATGCAGTGTTATGTGTGATGTTGCAATCATAAGCATGATGTAGTGTTAAGTGTGATGTTACAATGATATCATAATACAATGTCAAGTGTGATATTGCAATGATGAACATAATGTAGTGTTAAGTGTGATGTTACAATGATTAGCATGATACAGTGTTGATTGTAATTATTTTTGATTATATTATTTGTGTTATTGAAGATAAAATCTTTTAAAATAGAAATATTTACTTGTAATATATAAATAATTCTAGATAATGTATTTTTGTGTTATCAAGGGAGAAAATTGAAATAAAAAAAAGTAATACACAATAGAATATAGAAAATTTTGAATATTCTATTTAAAACTAAAGTATTTACCAGTAAGATATAAATGATTCAGGACATTCATTGCTTCATTTGAAACTTTTAGACAATCAGCTTTCAATGCAATATTCCACAATTGTTGCGTACCAAGAACATACTAAAAAATTTTGAAAAAAAGTTAAAAATACCTATTATTCCTTTATATAATTTTATTAATTACATAATTTGAAATTACTTCTTCTGTATCACTCTCTTTATTTACAAATGGAGTCGCATTAGACAATCTGGTCAGTCCAAATAACTTTTGAAACAGACTTAAACCAATCAATGTCATCTTTTCTGCATTTAACTCTGACAGCTGAAAACAATTTTTACTAGCTTTGATAAAATTATTTTTTTTATTAAAAAAAATTTAAATAACAATTTTAACTAATCTTATTCTTTATTATTAAGTATTAATTTATTAAGTAAAAATTTATAAATATTTATTAAGTCCTTAAAAAAATATAAAAACTAAAATCTTAATAATTAAGCTTAGACAAATATTTTAAATAATTTTAATATTTTAAAAAATGTTTTGACAAATGCATAGTCAACCATTCCAAAGTCTTCTGGCATTGTCAACCATTTCTAAAAACTTATAACCACAAAAAAGAAAAACTTATAAACACAAAAAAGAAAAACTTATTAACACAAAAAAGAAAAACTTATAACCACAAAAAAGAAAAAATTTTAGTCACAAGAAAGAAAAACTTATAAACACAAAAAAGAAAAACTTATTAACACAAGAAATGAAAAACTTATAACCACAAGAAAGAAAAACTTATAACCACAAGAAAGAAAAACTTATAACCACAAGAAAGAAAAACTTATTAAGAAGAAACTTATAGTTACAAAAAACTTATAGTTACAAAAAAAAAAACTTTGTCACAAGAAAGAAAAACTTATTAATACAAAAAGAAAACTAAGTAACTACTCTTTCAATAGTAATTATATAGTGGAAAGCACTAAACATTTTATGATGATTACAAGACTTTTGATTTTAACAGCTCTTTATAATAGTTGAAAATATGTAAAGTGGTTTTTTATTGATAATTTTTATAGGATATTTATGGATTCTTATCCAATATAAATTCACTAAATCAGAAACTGATTTAGTGAAGATAAAAATCATTGTTGGGTTTATAGTAAGATAACAACAGCAAAATATCATAAAAATCATTGTTGGGTTTATAGTAAGATAACAACAGCAAAACATAAAAATCATTGTTGGGTTTATAGTAAGATAACAACAGCAAAACATCATAAAAATCATTGTTGGGTTTATAGTAAGATAACAACAGCAAAACATCATAAAAATCATTGTTGGGTTTATAGTAAGATAACAACAGCAAAACATCATAAAAATCATTGTTGGGTTTATAGTAAGATAACAACAGCAAAACATACATTATGATGAAGATGAGCATAACAAAATAAATAACACAAAAACTCACTTGTCAATACAACTGTAATGTTTTTTGGATCTCAGTCAGTCGTCTCCTTTTTTGGAACTCAGTCAGTCGTCTCCTTTAAGCTCAGTCAGTCGTCAGTGATTGACTCAGTCAGTCGTCTCCTTTAAGCACAAACCACATTTTGCTTATTATTATTTTCTGTATATATGAAGAGTCAGTTTGATAATTAAGAGTGAAACTACAAACATACACCACAGTATACCAAAACACTGTTTATTTTGATTTTAGAAATTTTGTGACTGAACCCCATTTAGCATGAGCCAATTCAATAGAGAAAAAAAAAAAAGTTAACTGAATTCATTTTATTTTAAACTACTGTTCTTATTTATATTTCAAATTTTAAGATAAAATATTTTAAACATGTTTTTTTATGACTTTAATACAACTTCAAATTAAACTTTTTATAAATTTTTATAACATAGTTTACATATTATTAAACAAAGTAAAAACACAAACTTTTTTTTATTCAATTATAAAAATAACAACATTTTTAAATTCAATAATAAAAGTAACAAATAAAAACTAAATATTAAAAAAAAAATCATTAAAATCAAATAACTTTAAATAAACTTGTAAATAAGTCAAAACCTTGTTTACAAAGATGTGTTTAAATGCATCAAGACCTAAAGCATGCAAATCTTCATTGTCAGTTTGTTTGAGAAGCCAACTTAAAGTTAGAAAATGGTAATTATGCGGTAGTTGAGTAACTAAACAATTCCACAAACAATCTACTTGTGATATTGATAATCCTATTTTTAAAAAATCATTAGCATTACATTTATATATACACAAACAATATATATATATATATATATATATATATATATATATATATATATATATATATATATATATATATATATATATATATATATATATATATAATTTTACATTTGCCTAGTCCCTAGCCTTCTCTCTGAACACCTAATCAAGTTCAATTTTTTATTCAGATCACAGTCGGGTTATCATTTCTTGATATAATCAAGTAATTCTTATTGGTAAAAAAGTATCAAATAAATTTCATTTTTTTCTTTCCTAATTTTTTTTTAAACATCTTTACTTAATACCAAGGCTGCAAGCAACAACAACTGGAGTTGCAAGCTACTGGAAGAGAAAAGATGAAGTTTATAAAGCAAGATAATGATTAACAGACAACTTAAAGATTGCAAATTAATGCTCAATAATATTTTGAAATATAAATAAAAAATAAAATGTTTGAACTATAATGTGGCATTTGCTGTTAATAAGTTTTTTCTTATTATAGATTGGTGAAGCATTAGTGACAGCAGTAAGCAATGTTTTAAAAGCTAATAAGACAGTTTTAGATGAAAGTGAAATATCTAACAAAACAGGAACTAGGTAAAAAATCATTGTCAATATATTAGTTTACATATTATACAGGAAAAAACTCATATCGACCAGAAGCACTAAACAAAAAAAATTAACTATTTTAAATTTTATCAAAACTTTATCTATATTTTTTATACATTTATTTTATAAATTTTATTTCATTTTTTAGATGGAAGAGCAAAGATAAAATTTTTAAAGCAATATAACAAATAACAAATGACTTAAAAGATTGCAAATTATATGAATAAGGAAAACAAGATAAAAGGAGCAAATTTCAAAAAACTAATGTTCAAGGAAAAAAACTAGATGAATTAGAATTTTTTGAGCGCTTAGGAACAATCAAAATGAATGGATGAGACTTTAATAAATGACGAGTAACACAATAATGAATATTAGTAGATAAGAGCATAAAATAGACATAAAAGACTCTTTAGATCCATTATAGTATTAATAGAAAAGAAAAAAAGAAGTAACATTACGACAATGTGATATTGGTTGAAGGTTGGCTGCAAGAGCGATTCCAAATATTTTTACAATGAGTTTTAAGTATTAAGAGACTTTATGGAGAACTCTAGCAAGCCAAATTTTATCAAAGGCTTTACAAATGTCAGCAATAACCTTAACCTTTTCAGCTATAACCTTAACCTTTTACTTGCTTATAATAGGAAAAAGACTAATCGGACAGTAGTTAGATGAGTTTGAAAATAGGGATAACGAATGCCGCTTTCCAGCATAATGGAAAACAAGACTCTGATAAGCACTTGTTAAATAGTTTTGAAAGAATTGAAATTAGCAGATATGCTGTCCAGACCATAAGCTGTAAAAGTGTTTGAGTAGGAAATCACTTTAAATACAGAGGCTAGAATGTCAGCTATATCAGGTAGAATGAAATTTGTGGAATCAAGAGATGAGATTGATGAAAAGTGCTTAGCAAACTATTCAGAATTGTCTTTAGGTATGGTAAAAAATCATGCAAAAAAGGAGAAATAACAGATTTAACCTTATAACAGACACTAGTTAAAATCTCCAGAAGTCTCAGGATTTTTGAGATGAAATTTTATGATCCGAGAATAGTGGCTTTGGAGTTAGACAAAAGCTTTTTACAATGATATCTAGCAATAGTAAACAGATATCTTTTTTCCAGAACACTGTTTTGGCAATAGATATGCAAGTAATGCTTGCGATTGGAAATTGCAGCAGCACAGTGAAAGGAAAACCACAGAGAAGAGTGAGACTTGACTTGAAATCATTAAGAGGGAATAAAATATTCCATGCCAGTCTGAATCTAAGAAGTTACATAAAAAGCACATTTGTCAGCAGGAAGACAAAAGACTTCTACCCGAGGGCCATTGCGAAGATCATGGAAAGAAATCCAGTGTATGAGGTACAATGATAGGGGGATTCTGATGATGAATAATGAGAAAATAGTTTTAGAGAGATCAAACCTAAGAAGAAGCACCTAAGGATGAATGTGGAGAAACTGAGCACTGACTAGGATCATAAACAAGATATAGGTTGAGTAGAGAAAGTAAATGATTCTGATTGTCTGGAAAGCAAGTTGGAAAGTTGGCTATTTGTCTTGGAGATTGAGAAAGGCAAAAGTTGTCAAAAAACACAACACCTACAGTAAGTCACTAATACTAGAGTCAAGCCATTCAATGTGATGAACATTAATGCCACTAACAACAATGATATTGGCAGAAGAATAAAGAGAAGGGCTTGGTCAATTTGATCAGAAATAACATTAAAAAGAGTGCAGTCTTGATAGCAAGAAGAGCGATATAGAACTAAGAAAAAGATGATAGAGTGATATAGACCTAAGAGAAAGATGTTAAACAAAAGAACAAGAAAAAATAGTCTGTAGATTCAAAGCTAGTTTCCAGACAAATGAGCAAATTCTTAAAAATGTATACTCCCAGGCCAAGCATGTGACTATTGGAGTCTTTACGAATTAAAGGAAGAAAACAATCAACACAAAAATCACAAGATAAGTCTCATATTAGTCCATATCAGCGAACTCATACCAGTTTTACAGAGAGCAAGTAGGTCTGATGAACTTTACAAGAAATAAGATTCAACAGAAAGAAATTTACAAAGATCACGAATATTAGTGAATGATAGAACTTGGTGATTTGTTGTGTTTTAAAGTTTTTGATCTTTTAGTAATTTTTTAAATTGGTTAAAGAATTTGACTTGAAGCACAGATAGTACACAGTACACTATTTAATAGTTCAAGCAATTGCTTCACCAATATTAATAAATTCTAAGTCATAACAAAGGGCTCTGAATGTGGCCTTAACAATGCACACCAAAAGTACGAACAAGGACACCATCTATGCGCAACATGGCACTATTAGTACTCAAATATTTTATAGCTGTTTATGGAATCAGTCTCTCTGAAAGCTACCACCTAGTTCAGGAAATCTGACTACCAGCTGGCCTCAGAACCATAAAACTGAGTACTATAGCTGTACCCTTATTTGGAGATAATAGAATGATTTACCTAGTCGTAAAAAAAAATAAAACAAACAGAGACATAAGTAAAACCCATGCATTGAGTAAAGAAGATCCAACATTCAACATCCTAAACTAAAAACAATATAATGTAAATACATCTATGTCAATCTAATAGATGAAGAAGGGGTGAAAAGCTGGTCAACAGATAGAATCTGTTTGCCCATTAAATTTTTCCTAGGAGGCCTTTTACAAGAAAATAGCCAAATGCATTTAAAGTCTGCCTAAGATGAGTATTTTTATTGAGACACCATCTCTAGCTTTTATTCAACCAAGAGCCAAATCAGAGTTGGCATTTACTTTGTCTTTCTCTAGTGTATCCTAAAAGACAGCAGGGCATGAAACAGATTGTACTGGGTTACATGTTATCAGCAGCAGGATAACCAGACCTGACTATTCTGTAGCAGGATAACCTAACTTAGGATAATCTATTCTATAGCAGGATAACCCTAACTTAGAATAACCTGATCTGATTATTCTATAGCTGAATAACTTGACCTGACCATTCTAAAGCAGGATAACTCAACTAGCAGGATAGGTTAGGTTATCCTGCTATTTAGGATAACCTGATCTATCAAACACTAAACGTTTCTAGCAAATACTTAAGCAACATTCAATAATGTTTAGGATATTAGATAAATTAACCTTTTACAAATAAGTTAATTTAATTCTAGTTATTAAAAGATCATACTTCTCCTAGAATTAATTTTTATTCAAAAGTTAATTAAAAAAAAATTCTGCCACTCTGTTTCAGTTGCACATTTCTTAGTTAAAATTGAGAGTACATTGAGCTTTTGTTGAATATATTCAAATAATAAAAATGGAAATGCAAGAGTAGTCATAAAACATTAAAAATGCCTCTAAAACATCAAATTTTTTATCTATCATTTATTTATGTGGCAGTTGAAACTTAATTTAGAATAAATAAAAGTAATAATAATAAAAACATAAAAAAAGTAGATTTATGTGAACATCATGTGTAAAATTTTCAAAATGCGAATACAAAAGAAACCAAATTTGGGGCAAATATAAAAAAAATGTGATTGCAAAAAAAATTACAAAAATATTGATGTTTACCTTGTGCTCAAGCAGCAAAATACCCCAAAAAATGCCCTAAATTGTTCCTAAACTATTTGACTGTAAGCGCAAGCCAAATCTCAATATTTTAAATTTTTTTTTCTAATGTGATCATAATGGTGTTTAGTTTTATTTTAGATTGTTGTGTATCCTAGTTTTTTCATAATTATTGTTTATTTTAAAAAATAACTTCACAAAAAAATATTTCTGCACAAATGCACAAAAAAAGAATTTTGTGCAAATATGCAAAAAAAAAAAGAATTTTTTTTTTTTTTTGCATAAATTATAAGAAATAATTTTTTAATTTTAAACAACACTTTTGAAAAAATCACAATACACAACAATCTAAATAAAAAATTTGGACCATTATGATCACATTAGAAAAAAATTTTACAAAAAGTATTGAGATTTTTTTTGTATATATATATATATACACACACACACACACACACACACACACACACACACACACACACACACACACACACACACACACACACACACACACACACACACACACGCACACACACACACACACACACACACACACAGATATATATATATATATATATATATATATATATATATATATATATATATATATATATATATATATATATATATATATATATATATATATATATATATATATATATATATATATAAACCCTCAGAGTTAGGAAAAATGAGGTCGGCAAATTATTGCCGACCTCAATCTTTTAGAGGTCAACACCAGGTCTGCAAAAAAAATTTTATACAAAGGTCTTACCATTAAACATAGAAACCAAGTCAGCAATAATTTGCCAAC